CAGCCCCCGGGTCGTGCCCCGGGGCGCCTGGGTCCTGCGGCGCTGCCGACGTGGCCGACTCCGCCTCGATCTCAGCCCGCGGGCCGGAGGTTGCCCGGTTGAGCCGAGGAGGCACGGAGGCCAAACCGGTTCGCAGTGGCCCCCGAGACCCGCGCGCTGTGCACGCAGAGGTGCCCACCGTCGGCGTGGGCGGTGGGGGTGGATTTTAGCGGCTGACCGCTTTCGTTCACTGCGTGGCCTGCGTGGGGCGGGGGGGGGGACTCGGAGAAGCGTGTCCTTCGGACAGTGTGCCTGTCACCCCACACCCACCCCCTTCTCCTTAAAGGGCCAGACAACTCCGGTTCAGTTCCCAGTGTGCCTGCCAGGTCTTGGGAGAAATCTTTATGCTAATGAGTATATTTGCAACCCAGATGACGGATGCGGACGCGATAGGCGGCGGGGACCCGGCCCGTAGCCAATCGGAGAGCGAGCCTAAGGGGAGGTCGGAATGTTTGCTTACCTTTTCACCTTTGAGGAAGTCAGAGCTTTAACCCCGTTCGCTGCCAGCCTGCCAGAGCGAGCTGGGAGAACGTTCAATGCCTAAGGTTACCGGAGCTAGAGACTCCGTTTAAGTCCGGGACTTCGTTTTAGAGGGAGAAACTGAGGCCCCTAGGAAGGCCACACAGATGAACTTGGATGCCAGGCCCCATAATGATGCAATTCCAGACCCTGTGGTTATTACTCAAAAGTGAAGACGTTGAGGCAGAAAGAGGGGCACGGTAGCCCAGACTAGCTTTTCCTAGGATCTGCTCGCGGGGGAAGTCAGTAGGCTCCCTATTGAGACCAAAATCTTTTCTGAAAATGAGACAGCTCCCTCTAGGGCTTGGTGCTGTTTGAGATTTGGCTAGGCAAGCCCCAGAATGCAATTTAACCCTAAGATGTACATACCTGAGAACTGAGACGTTCTCCTAAGAATGACGTGCTGCAAGAGCCCAGATCCATAATCTCCGTCAGCTATCTGTACATTATGGGTGGGCTTTGGGATATTTTTCCCCCTGTGTCCTGTAGGGACAAGGGACCTGTTAGTGCAGTCAGCAAGCTAGGCGCCTGCTGGAACTATAGGTCAGACTCTCCATCTGAGAGGGCCAGGGCTGTTGCCTCTTCCCCTCTCTGTGACAGATCTAGACTTAGGCCAGAGACCACAGTGGAGAAGAGGCACATGCAGAATTTCAATTTGGATTTTACTCCGGTGGTTGTGCTCTGTCTGTTCAGTAAGACAGATATACCTGCAGCAAATATACCTGCAGCCTCAAACTACTTGGCTCTCATCTCCTAGGCCAGCCGAATTTACGAGTTTTGCTAAGCTACCTGCCCCCCCCCCCAGTCTCAGATAACATCACCAACTACTTGCCTGAGATCTATTCATTTATCATTTCAAGGAAATAATCTTGAGGAATGGGGGAGAGACAGTCTGGGAAACAGGGAGAGAACCCTGTTGATTTTGAGTATCCCTAGACTTAAACATCTCAAATTACCCTTTAAATTGCTCCTCTGCAGCATAAGCATTTAATTATCCAGTATGGAGGAAGGCCCCAATAGAAAACCTGTAAGATAAGGACATCCTCATCTTAAGCCCCACGTTTCATCCAACCAGGAATCCTCTCCAACTCCTTTCCTTTCCCATTTTGCTTCTAGGTTCAGGATGGAGAAACAGTCAGATTCTGGCAGCAGGCCAGGCCACCTGGGACCAGACAGTCTTCTCCAGAATCTGGAAGCTTATTCCTTGCATTTGGACTGCACATGGAGCAGTTATCTCTGCCTTTTCCAAAGGCTTAGGAAGAAAAGTTATATTTCACAACTTATTTTTTCCATTTCACTTTCAGCACGCCATAGGGTCAGACTCTCTTTCCCACATGATGCTTCTCCTGGGCTGTAATTTGCAAGCCAGAATTATTGTAATACTATAGTATTATGCCAAGAACTTTCAGAGTACTTGTGTATCTGCTCACCCCCTAAACATACTATATATAATTAACCCCCCTCAATATCCCTGCAATCTGATGTTATTTCCAGTTTACAGATGGAGTGAATGCTCTAAGGTGGTATTTACTTCAAGTAGGCAAGAACCCCATGGGTGTTTTTCTTTGGGAACTTGTAAAGGCTTACCTTCCAAGACTGAAGCAGAAATAATCATTCTAAAAGGAAACAGAAATCTTCCTAAGAAAGATACTAGAAAATGGTTTGTGGAGCCCCAACCACCCCATTTTGCAGAGGATCAGTGAAGGGGAAAGATGGGGTCAAACAAGAGTCACAGCTGGGATTGGTACTAAGCCTCCCAACACCACAAACCCAACACTGTGCAATGTATTTTCTATGCTGCAAAGAATCTGTGCCCACCATTCTTGACTCCTCCCCGCTTTTTGGTGCTGAGAATCAAACTCAGGCCCTTGCATAAGCTAAACACTTTGCCACTGAGCTATATTCTCAATCCTAATTTTCTTTTTGGGAAGACTAGATATGAATGACCCTGTTTCTGTTTTTGTTCTGTCTCAGCTTCTCACTTTTACCAAGAGTTCTCCAGGGGCAAGGACATGACCACTACTTTCTTGGTAACTTCTTCCAGTGTTGAAGGAAAATAATGCCAATTTGTAGAATCTAAAAGGGTATTACCAACCCAAGGGTCTCATCTATGTTTTAGAAAACATTACTCAGTTCACAATGTTAATGTCAGTCTCATCTGTATGCTAGGCCTCAAGGGAGACAGGGATGATTCAGATAGCTGTTCTGTCTCTTACCAACAATTGTACCAGGCAAGGTAAGAGAAGACGAGGAACAAAGGAAGAGTCTTACACAGTTGTGGCCAAGAGAAGTTAATTTTGAGGAGGAAGATCTCATAGGGTTCTTAGAGAAGGTAATACTTGAGTTTGTCCTTGAAGAATGAGAAGTATTTAGATATGAAAAAATAAGCAAGAAAATTCCAGGAAGAGGGAACTTCTAACAGAAGTAAAGGCATGGAAGCAGGAGCTTGTGGGAACACACCTGAGCAGTAGTTAGTGGTCTGGTTTGAGTTCAGTGAATAACCGGGAATTTTTGTGGGCATGAAAGAGTGGGCAAAGGATAAAGTTACAAACAGGGGCTGTTCCCCATTAGGAAGAGTTTTGACTGCCAAACTAAGAAGACTGGAACTTTGAGCAAGGAAACTGCCTGATTTTCCTTTGGTATTTTATAAAGATCATTGGGAAGCAGCATAAAGAAGAATTTCATGGGAACAGAAAATAGAACAGGCTTTTAGCTGCTTTTATTGTGTATTGGCCTTGTTGGTGCTTTCTTGTGTATGTGTGTGTACACGTGCACACATGTACACACGTAAGTACACATGGCATACACATGAGTGCATTGCTACTGAGGCTTGAACTAAAGGCCTGAACATTGTCCCTTAGCTTTTTTTGCTTATGGTTGGTACTCTACCACTTAAGCCACTGCTTCACTTCTAGCTTTTTTGCTGGTTCATTGGAGATCAGAGTCTCATGAAATTGTCTGCCCAGGCAGACTTTGAACTCCTAAGTAGCTAGGCATGAGCTACCAGCACCTAGCTGCCTGTGTATTCTTTTAAATATTAAAAAAAAATGGAAGATGGTACAAAACTGGGTGGCAGTGGCTCACACCTATAATCCTAGCTTCTCAGGAGACTGAGATCTGAGGATTGTGAGGACTGGCAAGAAAAAAAAAATGGTACAGGAAGAGCTCCTAGTATACAAAAGGTGTCTCATAGTTATTGTTGAATAAATAAGTAACCCAGGTAGTAGAAGAGTGCTAGGTGGTACACTCTGCATGACTCTGGCTTTGGGTCACTTGGTAGATGATGACCAGCTCCTTCCCTGTAACAGTTAGTATTGGAAAAAAGAAGAGAGTATTTGAGGAGAGAAGATGGTGGATTTGTCATTAGCCACATGTAGAAACAGTGTGAAGTTCAGGCCCTGAGTCTGTGCTGAATGGAGGCCTACATCTGAAATGAAACCTATGATCCTCCCTTCTTTTATTCCTATGCACTGAGCCTATCAGCAGGGTAGTCATGAGTACCATAGCAGTCTTATCCATTTTTC